GGGACACACAGCACGGGCTTGCTCCAGGCCTGCTCACGTGTGCGCTGTCCTCCACCTCTGCAGCACGTGGTCCAGTGCGTGTTCGTGGCCATCAAGACTATCGGTAACATTGTGATCGTCACGACGTTGCTGCAGTTCATGTTTGCCTGCATTGGCGTCCAGCTCTTCAAGGTGAGAAGTGTCTCAGATGGACAGGAGAGATGTTGTGCTCAGGCACGTCCTGGACAGTCATAGCCTTTGGGAACGGTGTCTCCTGGTGTTGAGGTCAGCGCAGGCCATGGGCTCTGCAAGACCTCCCAGCATTAGAGCCTGCAGTGGGAGGAGGAAAGGAAACACCCAGGGTCCTGTCAGGTCCAGTCAGCACGTGTAAAGGGACCGGCTGCCTCGCTCCACTTAGTGCCTCAGTTTCCCCATTTCTAAGGTGACAAGTGCTTCTGACTTCCTCTTCACTTTGTGTGGAATATGTTTCCTTTTTCACAGCACCGCTCTTGCTGTCTGGGCCTTGGCTGCTCCAAGGCTGCTGGCCCTCGCTGAGCTCAGCTTTTTTTCTAATAATTGAGCCTAAATTCCCAGCTGATGTAGGGAGAGCTTTCAGGACACAGCAGTCTGAGCAGACCTGTCAGTATACCTTAAATTTTAGTTAATTCTGTGGTTACTGCACTCTTCCCTATTTTCCAAAGAGTTGTCTCCCAGATAGGATGAGCTAGACAGGCTTCAGCTCAGGACCCTGGAAGGTTTGTTCCCATCACCAGGCAATGCTTACTTGGGATTGACCCCAGGGTCTGCTGTGGCTCCTGAAAGATGCTGTGACCTGGGTTGTGTGACCATGCAGTGTGGGGAAGCCAGTTGGGCATACAATTTTATATAGCTGAGTTTCAAAATCCTAGCTGAGAAGTGAGGTTTAGATGGCAGAGCAACTAGATGGGTTTAAAAAGATAGCACACAAGGAAACCATAAAATTCTTCACAGTCTGGCTGTCTATTTTAGCTTTGAACAGTGCTAACCACATAGTTCAGTGCTCTTCCATAGCAATTTGAACATGACTGTTCAAATGTGAGGATGTAGAAATGTGAGTCAGGGTCCAGAGTCAGCCCAGAGACAGCGTGGGGCTTGACTGTGGACTGAGAAAGTCAAAACTGCCCAGGGTTTCTGAAGTCACAGCAAAATCATAACCTCTTCTGATCTCTGTTAAATGCAGGGCAAGTTCTATAGATGCACAGATCCATCCAAGCTGACAGAGAAGGAGTGCAGGTAAGAGCTCTGTGCAGCTCAGGGCCAGCAGCACAGTGGGCAGTGATGGGAAGCGGGTGTGTGTGGGGCCACTTGTGTTCCTGCATGGGGATGTTGCATCCAAAAAGCAGGGCTGGAGCTTTGTGCTGTTCTCTCTCACCCTGGGGTAAATCAGAAACAAGCACTGGGACCAAAGAGCCCTGGGCCAGCGCCACAGAGAGTGGGCTGAAGGGGGCCCTGCCCAGTGAGTGCTGCATCCCTTCTGCTGCAGGGGTTATTTCATCAACTACGTGGATGGGGACCCCACGCAGATTGAGCTACAGACACGTGAATGGGTGCACAGCAGCTTCCACTTTGACAACGTCTTCTCAGCCATGATGTCCCTTTTCACGGTCTCCACCTTTGAGGGCTGGCCAGAGTGAGTCTGTGCGCGGGGCAGCCGAGGGATGGGTCTGTCTGGGAGCAGGTCACTGCAGCCTGTGCTGTGCTAAAGAAGGAAGGAGGAGCAGACCTTACCATCCTGGTGGTGGCTGTGGAGCTGACAAGATCATCCCAGCAGCCCAGTCCCACCATTGTTGGATTTGGGGTGTCCCTGGAGCTCTCCATAGCCTTCAGGAGGAGAGATGGTCTTTCCCACCTGATTAAGATCTCTGTTGCCTGCCTTTCCCTCCTGTAGGCTGCTATACATGGCCATTGACACTAATGCTGAGGATACAGGCCCTATCTACAACTACCGGGTGGAGATTGCAATGTTCTTCATCATCTACATCATCCTCATTGCGTTCTTCATGATGAATATCTTTGTGGGCTTTGTCATTGTCACCTTCCAGGAGCAAGGGGAGAGCGAGTACAAGAACTGTGAGCTGGACAAGAACCAGGTAATGGGGCTGCTGGGAGAGGGCAAGGTGAGCCAGCCCTGGCTCTGGCGCTGCTGGAGCTGGCCCTTGGTGGTGGCACTGCTGGCGCAGATGGGTTTAACCTGTCCCAGGTCTGTTCACTGCTGGGGCAGGGTCAGCTGGACCCATGCCTGGCACAACACAACCCTTCTAAAGGAAGGGCAGAGTGGACCAGAACCAGGGACCTTCTGGTCCAGGTGCAGTGCCCAGACTGAGCTGGAGCAGAGACTTATGCCCAGTTTTGGGCTTTCCAGTGCAAAAGCAACATGGACGTATTGGAGTGAGGCCAGCAAAGGGCCACTGAGACGACAGAGGGTCTGGAGCATCTGTCGTATGAGGAGAGGCTGAGAGCTGAGTATGTTTGGTGTTGAGAAGACTCATAGGGATCTTACCTCTGTCTACAAATACCTAATGGGAGGGTGTAAAGAAGATGGAGCCAGCGTCTTTCCAGTTGTGCCCAGTAGGAAAAAAGGCAATGGGCACAAACTAAAGAAAACAAGAAATCCCATTTAAACATTAAAAACCCCCTTTTTTATGGTGAGGGTGGTCAAGCATTGGAACAGGTTGCCCAGAGAGTTTGTGAAGTCTCCATCTTTGGCAGCATTCAAAACCCAACTGGACATGGTCCATAGGCACCATGCTCTAGCTGGCCATGCTTTGGGCAGGGAACTTTGATGAGAGGAACCTTCCACTGCCAGCCCTTCTGTGCTGCTCTCGTGCTGCGACACGGGCTGGGGACATCAGCAGCATCAGCAGAGGATGTGGCACACATAGGGAGGACAGGGATGCCTGCAGCCCACACGAGGTGCTGCCGTGGCTCTGGTGCTGAGCAAGCCTGCGAAGGCAGCACAGGGACCTTGAGCTGAGGGTGCTGGGGGTGATATGGGCTGCACACGAACCCAGCAGATATGGCCCTGGGCTGCTGGGGAGGGAAGGGGCTGCTCAGCACCTCCCAGGTGCAGGGAGAAAACTCAGTAGCCTCATAACCTCTGGCCTATGTGATGTCTTCAGGCTGCTCTTGGCCAGCTCTGAGAGATGCTGGGAAAGTGCCGTGATAACCAGGCAGGTTCAGGACTGGGGGGGTTGGTACAAGGGCAGCATGGCAATCTTTGGAGGCAAGTGATGGCTTTGGAAACTTGTTCTCGTGTGGGTGCTCTGGGAATGTATTTGCAGAAAGCACAGTAAATACTTGGACCATTGCTGTCCCTGACCTGTGTCGCTGGGCTGAGAGAGAAGTAGGGGGATCCAACTTGTGTCTGTGGGGCTGTGCAGTGGTGCTGGTGGTGCTGGCTCCGTGCCTGTGCCCCTGGCACTGCCCTGTGTCCTACTGTGGGATCACATCTGTCCTCTCCTCCCCAGCGCCAGTGTGTGCAGTATGCGCTGAAGGCTCGCCCCCTGCGGCGCTACATCCCCAAGAACCCCTACCAGTACCAGATCTGGTATGTGGTCACCTCCTCCTACTTCGAGTACCTCATGTTCTTCCTGATCATGCTGAACACTATCTGCCTGGGCATGCAGGTAAGGAGCACAGTGCCCATGGCGGGTGGTGCAGGGGTGTCCAGGGCAGCAGATGGGCTCGCTCAGCCCCACCACCTCCCAGAGAGCTTCGAGTGGGGAGGTCTTCCCCACGCAGCAAAGCTCGTGGTGTGTGCTCAGCACTGCTGGGTGCAGCGGGAAAGGGGGACTGGTTGGATGTAAGGAGCCCAGAGAAAGGGCTGCAGTGGGAAAACTTCCTTTTTGCTGACCATTGCTGAGCCGTAGCTCTGTGGGAGGGGGAGTCTCCATCCAGCACCTGCCTCTGAGCTAAATGACTCCTTTTGCCTTCTCCTCAGCATTACAACCAGTCTCCAGAAATGAACCACGTCTCAGACATCCTCAATGTGGCCTTCACTGTCCTATTCACCCTGGAGATGATCCTCAAGCTTATGGCCTTTAAAGCCAAGGTGAGAGGACGACATGGTCTGGAGAGCAGGAGAGGGCCTCGGGCCAGGCCAGGCGTTCCCTTTACCCTGCATTTGGCATCTCTTCAGTACAAGCACCCCAGGCCTGCAACTTCAGCCAACTTCTCCCTGTGAGAGCCTTGGGGACCCCCATGCATAGGACCTGTGAGTTTCTGGAAGGGCTACTGTTTGTCAGGGCTGCCCCTGCTAGCCAAGTCCAACCCAGTTGTTCCCATCTTTAGTGTCACCTTTCACTGGTGGGGTCATAGCTCTAGCCACCTCGATCCACCATCCCCATTTCACACCATTGCAAGACAGGACCAAACAATTGACAAGAGGACCCCAGGTCTGACCACCATCCCTGCTTCTGGCTCTCCCTGAGGTGCTGGAGGTCACTGGCGATCATTCTGGCACTCCTTCCTCTGGGCTCTGGCATCTCTCTCCTCCTTGACTTAACCCTCGGATGCTCACAGCTCTTCTCTGGCTCTTCCCTGGCAGGGCTACTTTGGGGACCCTTGGAACGTCTTTGACTTCCTGATCGTGATCGGCAGCATCATCGATGTCATCCTCAGCGAGATTGATGTAAGTGTCGAGCTGCTGCGGCACGAGGGTGTCCCCACAGCACAGCAGCACCCTCCTGAGGCTGGGGCGAGACGGGGGTGCTGGAGCGAGGTCCAGCTCTGCAGACTGTGGGTGTCCTCTCCTCTCTCCCTGCCCTGCTTGGTTCTGAGGGGGGACAAGCCATGGTGCGAATGTGTGGAGATCACAGCCTTAAAGCACTGTTTATACCTGGGGGACCATCCTCAGCAGGCCGACATATCACACTGCTCCCTCCCCTGCCCTCCCCTGGATCTGTAGGCACTGGGATCCTATGGGAAACAGTCTGCTTGCTCCGGACTGGGCTGTGAGCTGCAGGACACACACCAGCCTGTGCTCCACTCACCCTGCCTGGTGTCAGTCGTGTGTCCAGCCTCAGATCAGTGCGGGTGGGAAGGAAAAGGGTTCCCACAGCTCCCTGTGCCAACAGGACACTGCCGTCCCATGCCAGTGGAGACTCAGAGACATCAAGTTTCAAGGCATTTGCTTTGCGTGTGGCCCTTTCTACAGCGACCCATACATATACACACACTGACTGTATATGTGTGCATGTGTGTGCTCTACAGACTATTTCAGAAGCTCTACACCATATAGACTGTGTGGCTGTGTAGCTGCAGGCAGTGGCTATATGGGAAGCTCTCTGCTGGGAGAATTTTCAGAGCAGTGCTAGGAGGCCAGTGTACCACTGCCTTTTGTAGCACTGGGACATCCACATCCCGTGTCCGGCACTGAAAATGCCCCTCTGCACTGGGTGGTCATGTGCTGCGTTTAGCAGATCTGGTGGTAACTCTATAAGCAGCTGTAGGATCATGTAGTCTATAGAATAACCCTCCCTAGTGACTCACATGCCATCTCCTCTGGGGAGCAGGGCTTTTGTACACCACAGGGCTGTGTCTGGCAGAGCTGCTCCGCTGCCAGCCCCGTGCAGGGCAACCTTCAGCTGTTCCCTGTGCTGGGAAGGAGGGGGTGTTCAAGGGCCCTTGGTGGCAGCCACCTTCTCTGGAGGCTGCTCCAGGCCTCACGGAGCTGGGATGAGCAAAACCATCCACCTTCCTCCCCTGTGACAGCCACGTGCTCCTCCCTGCACAGCCCTGCACACCGATGCTGCCGTCCTCTGAGCCTCTGGGCTCCTCAGCCGTCATGAGCTCCTAGATTTCACGCCAGTGCCAGCAGCTTTCATCTGTCACCAGATCCTCCAGGACCCCATCTTTGGCCCCCCAGCTCTCTGCACCCATGACCTGGTGTCCCATTGCCTGTAGTGTGTCATTCCTAGTGCACCACCTCCTTCCCAATCCTGTTATCACTCAGAAATGAAATTCAAAGGGTGCTTAAGACCCTGCACTGGGCAGAGATTTTCAGTCCCCGTGAAGCGAGAGGTTGGGTCAGTTGGCACCGATGCCAAGGTGCTGCTGTGCTCAGCTGTGGGCCTGTGGCCACAGACACTCATTGAAGTCCGGTGCCCTGGCCATGCTGGTAGTGGCAGGGCTGTACAGAAGGCCAGGCAGGATTTCAAGAACGGTCCTGCACTACCTGAGCTTCCCTGGTCCTCTCCTCCAGGGTCAGTGAGAGCACTGTTCTCCTCTTCCAAGCTCTGCAGAGACCCCAGTCACAGGCGGTCTCGTGCCCTAGTGACCATCCATGTCCCCTCCTGAGAGCAGAGCCCATAACGGTTGCCCACCCTTCCTCCATGTGCTTTCTCCTCCATCCAACCTACATCTCTCTCAGCATCGCCAAGATTTTCCCAGTCATCTGGTGATGCATGGGGAGATTAGGATTAGGAGGTGGAGGGGCAGGCTCACCCCTTCTGGTAAGTCTCCTCCCTGCTGAGAGGTCAGTGCAAGGTGGGTCTGGTACCTCTGGTCCCCAGGAGCTGTTTGCAATCACTGCACCCATCACAGGTCACCTTGCTGGTGCAGGGGCTTGAGGGCTGCGGTGTTTTCAGAAGGGTGGCCTTCACAAAACAAGGCTGTGCTGCAGTGCAAGGGGTCGTGAGTGAGACCTCGCAGCTGCTGAGCCATTCCTGGTGGCTCCCAGTCACGCCACTCTGGTTTGCAAAGTCTGTCCTCTCTTCCTCTGTCTGTCTGTTCTGCCTCTTTTCTCCTCCCTCGTGTCTCTGTGTGTGGCTGTGGGTGAGGCGGTGGGGAGGGCTGTGCTGGAGGAGCCCTCTGCCAGCTCACGACTGTTCAGCCACTGAGTTCCCCCAGATCCCACAGGAGACCGAGGGGTCTGTGGCAAGAGGGAAGCAAGGCTGGGTCCCCTCTGGCAGTGCCACCCCAAGCTCTGAAGCGTAGAGGCTGGCAGCATTGGTGCTGCTGTGTCATTCCTGCTCTGGAAAAGCAGCCCCTTGGCAAGGGCTGACCCTCCCAGCCCACCCAAAAATTCCTGCAATCACTGGCTGAGCCCCCAGGAATGAGCCTGGGCTGTGCGGGGGACGCTGAGGCTGGGACACCCCACCGAGGGTCTGCACTGGGAAGGAGCTCCCTGCCCCAGGGTCTCTGCAGAGGAGTCCATCTCCAGGCAGCTTCGAGGAGCCTCAAGGGTTTGTGTGTGTGTGCGCACGTGTGCGTGTGTGAGTGAGCATCCTCTGCGTGTGGACGTGTGTGCCCTGTATGTGCCGATGTCCTTGCAGACCAGCAGTCCCTGCCTCTCAGTGGGTGATCACTGCCAGGGGTTTGCCTCCACTAACACATGAGACTGCAAGTCCCTGTGCTCGCTGCCAGCAGACCTGCACTGGTTTGGTCTTGGTGTCCAAGCAGCCATGCTGAGAGCAGCCTGGCTCTCGGGAGGAGCTGTGGGTTGGCTTGAGCTGCTCGGCGGGCATCCAGATCCCACCAGCCACAGCTCGGGGCCTGACCAGGCGGTGTCCATGGGAGGCAGCAAAATTATAGAGCTTTGGTGCAGATTTCCTGGTCCATACACCCCTCCCCAGATGTGTCACACCAGGGGGGATGTGGGGGTCACGGAAGTGGGGAAGTCCCTCACCATCCACATGTTTCCCTGGCCATCCTCCTGCTGCCGCTGCCCCTCCAAAGTCATGTTGCCTTGTTCATGAGCCCAAGTGTCGGTGGGTCTCTGCCTGTCCTTCCCCTGTGCTCCTCCTCTTGTCTCCAATTTCCATCTTACTCTTTCTTCTGTGTCTGTGTCATCGTCTTCTGCCATCCATCCATCCCTCCCTCCCTCTCCTTCCTGCCTCACTTCTCCTGCTGACTCTCTTGTTCTCTTGACAGACTGTTCTTGCATCCAGTGGCGGACTGTACTGCCTCGGCGGGGGCTGTGATGGCACTGTAAATATCAGCTGCATGTGCTTGCCGTGCGCCCCTCTCCCCTTTGCTGCCAGTGGCCCTGCCAGCAGGCTTCTGGCTGTGTTTGCTTGTGTTCTGCATGTCATTGAGACACCCCAGATTCAGCTGCTCACTCTGGGGTGTAGCTTCCCCCTTGCTGAGAAAAACTTGGGGCAAGACGTGCACCCCACAGACTCCCCCCCTTCCCATGCTGAGATGTGCCAGGCTGCTCCCCAGCCCTCCTGGGTCCTCTGCCAGCCCACCCCCCAGCACTGCAATATCTGACCTGAATGGAGCCTCTGGCAAAGGTGTCCCTGACTGCTGAGGGCAGGACACATGGCCTCGGTTCCTCTGGCCGTCACCCTGTCTGTGTAAGACCCAAAGGGATTTGCCTGTGCCAATGCAGCCTCTGACACTGTTATCTGGAGACGTGGTTAGAGGGGCGACTCTTGCCATGTCCCGTGGCTCCTGGTCTGATGTCCTGGGCGGGTTGAGTGGGCCAAGCCCTGCACTGGTGGCTGAGACCACTATGGGGGTGCAGTGGGGTAAGGGCGCCCTGCATTGGCCCATAGGAGCTCCCATAAGAGCTCTGAAGATGGGGAGCATCACAGCATCCCAGGATGTCAGGAGTTGGCAGGGCCCTCTGGAGATCCCCCAGAGCGGGATCACCAGAGCAGTCACACAGGATCTCGGGCAGGGCTTTGGGTGTCTCCACACAAGGAGACTCCACAGCCTCTCTGGGCAGCCTGGGCCATGCTCTGCCACCCTCACGCTGACAAAGATTGTCCTCATGTTCAGCTTCAACCTCCTGTGCTCCAGCTTGGGACCATTGCCCCTTGTCCTGGCATTGGCCATCCCAGAGCCGAGCCTGGCTCCTTACTCCTGACACTGCCCTTTCCAAAATGATCCCCAGAAATGAGGGCACCCCTCAGGCTCCTCTGCTCCAAGCTCAAGAGCCCCAGCTCCCTCAGCTGCTCCTCAGCAGGAGATGCTCCCCTCCCTCCATCATCTCTGTGGCCCTGCTGGACTCTTTCAAGCAGTTCCTGTCCTTCTTGAGCTGAGGGCCCAGCACTGGACACAAGATTGCAGCTGTGGTGTGAGCAGGGCAGAGCAGAGGGGCAGGAGAACCTCTCTGCCCTACAACCACCCCTTCTCATCCACCCCAGGATGACGTTGGCCTTCTTGGCCACGACGGTCAGCTGCAGGGTCCCATGCACCAGAGCCTCGTCCCAGGGGTCTCAGGGCCCTGGTGCTGGGAACTGCAGAGGGCAAACTGGCCTTCACCGGGCACTGCCCAGGTCCCAGCAGTGGGGACATGTTGCACTGGAGCTGGTGAGATGTTCCTGACCGCTGTGCTTGCTGGGTAGATGCTAGGCACTAAGAGAGAAAAAGGCAAAAGAAAGAGGGATGGAGAGAGGAGATGGTGTTTTCCAGCACAGCCCTAAAAACTCAGAAATGCTGAACTGGGCAAGCTGGAGCTGCTGGGAGGGGTGTTTGCAGCTGGGGTTGATTGGAATAGCTGGGAGCAGGTGGGCTGAATGATGAGCGTGAGGAGGGACAGGGGCAGCAGGGAAGCTCTGGGAGGCTGAGGAAGCAGTGGAGAAGGGACCCCAGGTGGTGATGGGGCTGGGCAGACAGCGCCTGGTGGAGGCCAGGAGGGTTTGCCTGTGGTTCCTGGTACCAGAGGCTAGGGCTGAGGCAGTGCCATGATGGAGAAACCAAGGGAGCAGGCGACCAAGCCCCCAGCATCTCCAAATGCTGATGTCCCAGGCAAAACCTGGCCCTTTGAGCCCAGGAGCTGATCCTGCTTGCTCCCCTCCTCCCTGCCTGTTTTGACCTGACCTCAGGAGTCCCCAGCCTGGAGACATGGCTGTTCACCCCTCCAGGAGAGCAGGCATCCCTGCAGGTATGGGGGGCACTGGGCAGCATCCCTGCAGAGCCTTCAGTCCTTCCTTTGGTGCTGGGATACTCTCAAACCAGCCTTTCTGTGCTTAAATAGCCACCATTAACCTTTTGTGTGCCTGGCCTACAGCTCCCCTTACAAATGAGCCCCGAGGTGGGAGCATCCCTTATGGTACCTGGAGGGATCTGAGCCTGTCCTTGGGGGCCCCTGTCTTGTGAGGGGTGAACAGCACAGCTCTCCCAGCCTGCATCACAGCATGCCTTTCCCTGCAGTGTCCCCTCCCCATAGCTAATGGGATTGCTGTCACACCCATAACCAGTCTTCCTCTGCCCAGGGTGGCGCAGAGACATGAGACAGTGGGGCTGGGGAGATGAACTCACTGGGAAGGCTGGAGGGAAGGTGCCAACCCATCCCCTGTGCAGTCTGGTCCTCTGGACAGGCAAGGGCTGTGAGGGTCGTGACTGGAGCCTGGGAAGCAGGAATCTTGTTACCCTTCCTGGCCCAGGACCTGGAGCCCCTCTTGTCTGCCTGGAGGCATCAGCACCAGCTGCTCTCCAAGTGCTGTGCTCTCCCTGCAGGACTCGGATGACAACTCCCGTGTTTCCATCACTTTCTTCCGACTGTTCCGGGTGATGCGGCTGGTGAAGCTGCTGAGCCGGGGGGAAGGTGTAAGGACCCTCCTGTGGACCTTCATCAAGTCCTTCCAGGTATGTGAGGGACGGTGCTCCCCTGCCAGGTAAGCACATGCCCTGGGCTGGCACAAGCGCTGGTCCTCAGGCCAGCAGTCTGTCCTCACCAGGCAGAGGAGGAAAGCCCTGGTGCTGGCAGTGCTGCCTCAGATTGGACTGCGGGCCTGTGCTGTGTAGGAGAACATTGCCTGCATGGGTGGGAAGATGTGGGGATCTCCTGGGCTGACACCACCGTGTGTCAGAACCTGGGGCACCACTGTGCTGAGCAAGCAGGCAGGGGCTGGTCTGGTGGGAGGCATGGGAGGTGTCGCTGCCCATGGCAGGGGGTTGGAGCTGGATCATCTTTTAAGGTCCCTTTGAACCCAAACTGTGCTGTGGTTCTGTGACTGCCCAGACACATCAGCAAGGCTGTGCTTTGCACTAACTGGGTAGCTCGAAGGCACGCTGCAGCATCTCAGCACACAGGCCCTGAGCCTGGGCAGCTCCCTCAGCCCTGGGCATCCCAGGGTTGTGCTCAGCCTTAGTCCCAGTGCTCCCTTGGAGGTTGGCATAAGCCCCCCATGCATGAGGACTGGAGAGTGGGGCTGGTGGGAAGCAGGCTGTCCCCTTTCCACGTGGAGGCCTGGATGCTGGTCCCGCATGGTAGCTCCAGACCCAGTCTCCTGTCCCTGGGTTGCCTTGATGCTGGGCTGGTGTCTCACATGAGCCATGGTCCTTTTGTCACAGGCTCTGCCCTACGTTGCCTTGCTGATCGTGATGCTTTTTTTCATCTATGCTGTGATTGGGATGCAGGTGAGAGGCAGGGGGGTGGGATTTGGTCTTGAACAGATGCCCTGAGCCTGATAGCATCTGGGGATGTGGGACAGAGAGGGACTGGGTCCTCTGCCAGGCACTGCCTGGGACTTTGCACATGATGGGACAATTTTGCCCCGGTCTCTAAGGATGCTTACAGCCCCAGCAGCCTCCTCCCATCCCCAGGCTGCAGCTCGGGCAACAGGGGCACACAGCACATAGCACTTTGGGAGTCAACAGCACAGCCTGGACACAGTCACCTGTGCCTGGTTCGGGAGATCTTGTCTTGTCTGCTCTGGATGGAGTGCAGCACAAACAGGAGCATTTTCAGCATAGGCAGGAATGTCCAAGGAGCTCATGAGACCCAGAGCACCCACACCCTGGTCTCAGTCTCTTTTGGGGACACACAAAGCCAAGTAAACAAGAGAAAAGAGGAGCTCAGGGACAGGGGTGCTCTGGAGGGTGGTTGGTGCCTGAGAAAGGGTGCTGGGGGCCTGACAATGTGGTTTACAGATGTTTGGGAAGATTGCCATGGTGGATGGGACCCAGATCAACCGAAACAACAACTTCCAAACCTTTCCACAAGCCGTGCTGCTGCTCTTCAGGTCAGTCTTGTCTTGGTGAGCGAGCAGCTCTGAGAGGGAGCTGGACTCAGAGCTGTCATGGGAGCCCACCAGCTTGGGGTGAGGGAGACCAGCGTTTCTGTGGTTGGTTTCTTTTTTGCCCTACGGAAAAGTCTCTTGCAGCAGTGGAAGCATTGCAGGAGTGGCTGTCAGTTTGCCTGGTGTGGCTGAGCTGCAGGAGAGAGGGGCACTTTGGGGTTTCTATTCTAAATGTTTCCTCCCCAGACTGGATTTTAATTTGTGAATTGTGAGGAAATTCAGGGGCAAGGAAGAGCTCAGCCCAAGGCTTTTCTTGGCTGCAAACACTTCACTTTGGAGCTTTCAATAGCAGACTCCCTGCAGCAGCCCCAGCAAGCCCAGGATTCGGAGCGCTCCTTTCCCAGCGGCTCTGTGTTCCCCTGTGCGCTGGGCTGGCACAGCCCTCGCTGCAGGCCCAGCTCGCGTACAGCACAGGCAGGGACCAGCAAGTGTCCCCTCTCCTCAGGTGTGCGACCGGCGAGGCCTGGCAGGAGATCCTGCTGGACTGCAGCTACGGCAAGCTGTGTGACCCTGAGTCCGACTTCGCCGAGGGCGAGGAGTACACCTGCGGCACGGGCTTCGCCTACTTCTATTTTATCAGCTTCTACATGCTCTGCGCCTTCCTGGTATGCTGGCTCCCACCGCGCTCCCTTTGGCACCCCCGTCCTGGCTGCGGACAGCCCCTGGTGTTGACTTAGCCTTGTACCTTGTGGGACTGAGCCCATCATCTGCTGCAAACCTGGCACCACATTCCCATGGAACCCAGGACCCCCCATTAGTTCCTTCCCACTGCCCCTGTGTCCAGATGTGTCTGTGCTGCCTGTTGCAAGGGGGGAGCGAGAAGACCTGCCCTGTGCCTGCTGCAGCCTTCCCTGTATCTCCTTGGGTGGGAGGCCCATCCCTGTGTGGAGTGACGCACAGCATCCCCTGGCTCCTGGGGAACCCAAGCCCCCTCTCCTCCCAGATGTGTCTGCCTGCATTTCCCCATGGCCCTGGCTAGGCCCATGGTCAGTGCTGCCCTGCTCTGTCACTGTCCCTCTGACCAGGGACCTGCTGAGTGCTTAGCCTTGCCCTAGCTGACATTCTTCACACGTGCTCTTGTGCCCTCAGATCATCAACCTCTTTGTGGCAGTCATCATGGACAACTTTGACTACCTCACACGTGACTGGTCCATCCTTGGGCCCCATCACCTGGATGAGTTCAAGCGGATCTGGGCTGAGTATGACCCCGAGGCCAAGTGAGTGAGCAGGGTGGGTGGCACAGAGGGGATGGTCCATGGGGAGCCTGGGGTGGGCTGCCCTGAGACATACACGACAGTGTGAGCTGTGGCACTAAGAGTTAGATCCCAGGGTCTTGGAATTGGATATGGACTTGCCCGTGTGTTCTAGGGCTGGTACAAGCCACATGGGGGCAAAAAACTCCCAGTAGCCTCTTCATCCACCTGTGGTGATGCTGCCAACTCTTCCCATGCCACTGCTTTATCTGCTGTCCAGTACTACAGGGATAAGCTGCTTTCCCCAGGAGGAGCATAGGGAAATGTAGGGATTTGCCCACCGCAGGAGCATGGGCAGGCCATGAGGATGAACCCACCTGGCCCCTACCCAAACCACTGTTCCCTGTGTCTGCCACTGTGCTGCTGAAGCAGTTTGTTACCTCGGCAGGGGCAGGATCAAACACTTGGATGTAGTGACTCTACTGAGACGTATCCAGCCTCCCCTGGGCTTCGGGAAGTTCTGCCCTCACCGTGTAGCTTGTAAGGTAAGAGCAAGGGGGTGGCAGGGTGTGTGGGCACAGGGGTACCTTCCCCAAGCTGTCTCTGCATCCTTCCCAGGGAGCCTGAAGGTGACAATCCAGCCAGCAGTTTTATATCCATGCTGTGACCTCTGGTGTTCAATGGAGGGGACTATTCTGGAGGCAAGAAGAGATCATAGAGTAATTTGGTTGGAAAAGACCTTTAAGATCATGGAATCCAGCCATAACCTGTCCATCACTAAACCATGTCTCTAAGCACCTCATCTCCCCGTCTTTTAAACACCTCCTGGGATGGTGACTCCACCGTAACCCTTGCAGTGAAGAAATTTTTCCTAATATCCAATCTAAACCATCCTTGGCACAACTTGAGGCTGTTTCCTTTCATCCCATCACTTGTTACTTGTGAGAACAGACCTACTTGAGATGCTGTTAACCTGCATGGACCTGATGTGTTTCAGGATCCTGAAGAGAAGGACTTGCCTGCGCTTACCCCCACACCAAGGAGGATGACACTGGTGGGGTGGTCTCTGCCTGACCTGGAGCCCTCAGTGCAGGGTGGCTTCCAGGCCACACTGGGTGCCCCACATCTGCATCTGGTGCAGGAGGGCAATGCTGGGCCTGGCCGCCTCAGCTGGGCCATAGAATTTTGTTTCCAAGGGCCGATAACGCTGAGGGAGCTGGAAGCACTGGCTCTGGGGGCATGAGAACACTTTTCCTGGTTTAGATCGTTCTGCACAAATCCAGGGCCTGTGTGAGGTTCACATGGGAACCACGAGATCAGGGGCTCTGGTGTAAACCCTCTTGGGTCTTGGGCAAACTCATTGGGATGTTTGGTCCTCAGATCCCTTACAGCAGCGTGGGGCAATCTTTGGAGCGTGGAGCACAGCACAGAATGGCTCCCACTGCCCTAGAGCAGTGCTGTGTCTCTTGCCGGTTGGTTAGCCCAGAGAAGAGGAGGTTGAGAGAAGACCTTGTCATTCTCTACAACTCCCTATAAAGAGGTTGTAGCAAGGCAGGGGTCAGCCTCTTCTCCCAAGTAACAAATGATGAGAGGAAACAGCCTCAAGTTGTGCCAGGGGAGGTTTACATTGAATATTAGGAAATATTTCTTCAATGAAAGGGTTAACAGGCACTGGACAGGCAGCCTGAGGAAGTGATGGAGTTACCATCCCTGGAGGTATTTAAAAGACAGGGAGATGTGGCACCTGGGGACATGGTTTAGTGGTGGACATGGCAGTGTTGGGTTTACAATTGGCCTCAATGATCTTAAAGGTAATTTCTAACCTCAATGATTCCATCATTTTCTCCCATGACACCAAGGTCCCATAGGTTGGGTTATTTCCACAGATTTGCACTGGCTCTCCCCACAGCTTGGTCTGGTTTAGCTGCTGGGGATGAGCGACGTCTGACCCGGCCCATGTGCTGCCAGCAATGGCACAGAGCCCCGTGGGCCTGGGCAGAGCAGGCAGAGCTGGGGGGGCTCCTGGGCCAGCGGCTCGGTGCCCCCAGCAGAGCTTCCCCCCAGCCAGCACAGCTGCGCTGCAGTCAGGACCGGCTCTGTGTCTGAGGGTCCTGCCAGACTGCATTGCTGCCTGAGGTGATGGTTGTTGGTTTGTTCTGCAGCGTCTTGTGTGCATGAACATGCCCCTGAACAGCGATGGCACCGTCACCTTCAATGCAACCCTCTTTGCGCTGGTGAGGACAGCCCTCAAGATCAAGACAGAAGGTAAGCACTGCTTCTTTCTGCCTCTATGGCCTGATGGGGGGACCCTCTCACAGAATCACAGAACATGAGGAGTTGGA